CTTACAACTATACCATTGACAATGCAATTACCTTCTTTCAAAAGTACCCCTACCATCTTACCTTACTTCAAAGCTTCGTTCGCAAGAGACCCTTTCTTTCATAAGCCGAACTTTTAATCTGTTACTAATAGGTAACAGTAATGTGCATGGATGTATACTTTCTTAATAAAATATTATTACCTTTATCCACACGGCCATTATTCTTATTGTTGATCATGATCTTGGTATCGATGTTATTATTGCGATTGTTCTTTCTCTCATTTCTTTTATTCAAAATATAAGTAGCGATAGTAATGGTGATAGTGTGTAGAGGCATTGTATTTTATACTGCTAAATAATATTCTTTAAATAATTAGTATTTCAAGATCACTTGGAAAATGTTTTTCTCTTCGCGGAGGTTACGCGTAAAATAAAACGCGTAAATCTCCATTAATTCGTTAGATATTGGCCGATATTTTTTTTTATTTCCAATGATTAATTAATAATTAATGACCTTTTTTCTGCCAATCGTTGAGAATAAACTAAAAGAAGAAGGAACGTTAAAAAACAATAAAATAATGTATTCCTATATTATTGAGCCAAGTATATTTCGAATGTAAACTAAACATTTGCAAAAACAAAAACAAAAACAAAAAAGTATTAAGTTATTGATGAAATTTATTAATAACAAGTTCGAGTCTTCGATACTATAATCGTATGATAAATTTACATGGTAACAAGATTTTGTTTTAATATTGAAACGACAGAAAATTTAATTTTATGCAGCAGGGCAGTATGACGTCGAAGCGGCTAATTTTGCCGCTACTGATGGCGTTAATAATATGGGGAAATTTAAATTTGGTCAATGCTTCGTCCAAGTCCGCTTCGTCTTCGCAGTCAGCTTCCGAAGAATCAATGTCCTCGATGATAAAAAAAACAGCTACTCCAGTATCAAGGTAAGTTGAAGCATCTGAAGCGCATATAAATTATGGGCAGTGGATCATTATGAGGAATATTATGTCAAATTTATTTGATGTTCGATAAATGCAGAATGAAGGAATGAAATTTTTACTATAATAATCGTGTAATTAGTACAACAAAAAACAACATTTATGGATTATAATTAAAAAGAAATGCAGGTGAATACGATGTGGTGATAGAAAGTTAATAAAACTTTTTGAATAGAGAAGTAAATATTAAAACAATATAATGTTGTTTTTATCTTGAGAACTAAAACAGGTTCCACACCTGTTGTTGTGAGTATCACAACAGGACGACGACAATGATGGAACGTTAGCTGCGGCAGATCAAACAAGCACAGTGTACCGTTCGACCAGTTAGTTCAATATAGACCTTTCTTGAATCGTTTACATTACGGTAGAGAAAGAGATAGACTGATAAACAGTGAGAGAAGGAATGAGAAAGGGGGAACAGTGTGAGAAAAATCTGGGCTTATTTACGCGTTGCGGTTTCTGGAGACGCGATTGTGCTTGCAATATATTTTCATTACCGGAATTTGAATTTATCTTTGGGTGAAAATAATTTACCAAACATATTTATCCGACCAAATAATTTATTTTAATTATTTTAATTTATTTTAAATCAGTTGATTTTAATATAATGTAATTTTTCTCATTAGATAATGCTAATGTATAAAATGCAACTTTTGTAAAGTTCATTTGTAAATAGTTTTAAAATAGTCATAAGTACGATTCAACTTTAATGAAGACGACGC